AGAACCCACAGAGTATCTGCCCTAACTGCCTGGTGTAGACCATTCAGCTCCCATTTCCCACAGAGGATGGTAATACTGTCTGTGTTACATTTGCGTCTGCTTGGACAGGCTCCACTCCAAGTGGTTTATCCTCCAGCCTCACCCTGAAAGTGCATGATTGAGGAAACTGAGTCACAGCTAAGGCCCAGCAGGCTGGAATCAGGCCCCAACCCACTGGCATTGTTTCATTCACAGGTACTTGGCGGGCCCACACTGAGCAGGCCAGCCTTAGGCAGAGGCACACCCTCTGCAGCCAGTCTTGAGTGAGGAGTACGGGACACAGCAGACAACTCAGGCCAGTAGCCAAGTCTCCGGCTCCACCCAGAGCTCTTTGGAACCAGCTGGAGTTCATCTAGACACTTCCTACTTCCTACAGAAACTGACCTTGACTTTTCTGAGTTGAGTAGCAGATTTGTGAAGTCGGTAGGGCAGCACTCTACTTTCAAGGATGTTCTCCGATGTCCGTTGATACATGCCTGCAGGGCCCCACCACAGCAGAGCAACGGCAGTGATGTTCACGGTAGACTCAGCCCACTGGTGAATCAATTTACCAGTGGACTTCGCCAAACCCATTCTTAAGTTCCTTAAGCTCCTTGATCCTTTGAGATTTGAGATTTCAATACGCACTGGCTGTAAACATAGGTTTCAGTCTTTCTGCCCTTTGTCCTCCCCCACCCCCACCCTCATCATCCCATGAACAAGGACGTGGGGCTTGAGAGATTGCATACCTTATTTCACAACTGAACTCCTGAAAAGAAAGGTCAAGTGAATATCCCCTGGACCACACAGCTCTGCGCACCAAGACTGAAACCAGATGTCGTCTGGTCCTCTCCTGAGCAGTGCTTCAAGGCTGTGCAAATATGAGAAGCATTCCCCGAGCCTTTGCTGGAACAGGCAAAAGAGGATTAGAGTCTGGAAGCTCATACCACTGATTCCAGTCCCAGAGTTAACTTGTGGCCAGTTAACCATTGACATGAATCCCTTTCTAGAGCAATCTTCCTGCCATGTCACAGTCCCTCCTCAGGATAAGAGGATGTGCCTTCAGGGGTTTCTGATGGTCTGAATCCACATCCTAAATGGTGAAACCTGTTATCCGGTTGGCAGGGTGACTTAGCAACCTGTGGACTCGTGCCACTTTGAGTTTGGTCCCAACCATACCACTTACCAGCTAGCTTACCCTGGCCAGCGTCTGGTCCTTTCTGAACTTCATTGTCTTTCTCTGTAAAACAGTCAGTCACATCTTTCCCTAAGCCTGGCTATAGGCATTAGATCACATACCCACAATGCCGCCCTGCCCTGCCTGCCTGTGCCAGCACACAGCAGGTACAGGAGCACCAAGAAGAGGTGCTGCCCATCCTAGCAAGGCGACTCCAGTACAATCAGGGAGACTTTCTGGGCCCCTAAATGGTGTTAAATGGGAGGGACTGGGATTTGGAAAACCTTCTTTTCTGTTTCTGAGTCTAAAACTCAGATAAATACTTTATTGTTGTATGCTTTATGTACAATAAATTGTATTGCTTAAAGCATAAAATTTGAGACATTTTGACACAGGCATAAGCCTGCAAAACTGTCAACACACTCGAGATAATAAACATAGCCCTTACCCCCCCCCCCGCCTCAAAGAAATCACTGGCAGTACATCTCCCGTTCCCTTTCCAGTACTTCCATCCATGCAACTACAGACCTGCTTGCTTCCTGCCTTTGTAGATCACTGTTTTTCATCTTCTAGAATCCTATACAAATGGAGCTGCACCATGATTCTGATACTTAGTGTGATTGTTCAATATTTATCTACATAAACCGTTTTTTTCATGACTACTTGCCACTCCCTGCAGTGGTCACCACAGCCTTTCCCTAAAGGCCAAGCAGGACACTAAACAGAAGGGAAAGGAGAAGTCGCTTGGGGGGAAGGGAGAGGAGGGAGAGGGATGGGGGGGAATCTCACAAAAGAAAAGGAACAAGGGACAAGCTGGTTGTCCCTTTGGAACCAGGACTAAGAACTGGAGATCTGGAAAGGGAACTTGATGATCAAAGCCCTTCTGACTTAATTTACCCATGAAGCTGGTTAGCTGTCCCCTCCTTATATCCATTTCTACTCTGCAAAGGGGCTTTGCTTCCTTGTTGGGCAGATTAGGAGACTGAAGCACAAAGATTTTTGATGACTGCTCTCAAGTTCTCACAGCTAACAAGTGCCTGCATTTGGAATTGAAACTATGCTCTTTCCTACTGTGTCCTCCCCAGCCCTGATGCTGTCAAATGTACCCAGAGAGCTGCCTTTCAGGGCAAGGGCTATTGTCATAGCCTTTTCTTCTTTTCCTTCATTAGCTGTTTTATTCCCCGTTGTCATTCACACTTAGGTCAGATTTTAAAGGGAAGGGAAAAGGGAAATGCCAAATGAGGGGACAATAGCAGGGGGCAGAGGAAATTCCCAAAGGGAAGTGAAATTCAGACATACTTGGTACACACGCACACACTGTGGGGAATCGGGATTCCCCAGAAAGATCTAATTCAAGACCCAGAGCCACCGTATCTTGACCTCGCGCAGGTCACTTTCCTCGCCCTCTGCCTCTATTGCCTTCCCAATGAATGGCACTGACAGGCAAGTCAGAAGACTGAGAACTGAGTGTTGTGGGTCCCGGGGTCTTAGCATAGCGCTGGCCACATGGTAAGCACAAGGCAGCAATTAAGATTATTAGTATTAATTCTCCCTCAAGGGTTTCTCTGCTATCCACACCTTTTGCTCTACAGTAAAACAATGAAAATATGTGCACACTCTCCAGTGAACATAAGCATGACAAATAGGAGAAACATAAACCCTCAGGGGAATCTCCCAGAAGGAGTCCATAGCAGGAGTGGTGGAGAATGTTTTTGCTGCATAGCTGAGACCATGGGAAGCAGGAAGAACAGGAAGCACACACCAGTGGCTAGGTAAGAGAAGAAACAAACTGAAGGCTGGAGGTCTGAGGAGAGTGGGCAGAACACTAGGGATCAGTGTTTACTACCTGGTTTTTGGATGCTAAACTCCTCATACGCAATTTAACACTGACAGGTTGCCGCTTCTGTAGTAGATTTACTTATCCAATCACTGTCAGAGATTAAAGTCTGAGATTGACAGGTAAAACACCCAGGCCAGATTCTGGATCCTTCATTGACAGACCATTTCAGGAGTCAGAAGCCAAACTAGTACGGTCTTAACAGCCATCAGTTACCCCCAAGTCTTCTCAGGGTACTCCGTGCAGCTCTCGGTAGGGTCCCAATCTTAAAACCCACTCGACAGACTACCACTGGGGAATGGCCACATCCCTCAGACCCTTCCCTTGCAGGGAAGCAGGCTTTCAGAACTTCAGATGCTCTCATAGAAAGGGTCGTCTTAGCAGAGAGGGCCCAGGAACAGTCTTAACCACACTAGAGCCCTCTGAACACCAGAACTCTGTGGCCAATCTCAATATGTTTCTCTGAGGAGCACCGATGTAGACAGGGGCCTGCAGAAGTGAGCTAGTGAAGTCTTGGAAAGCTTTTGCATGACTTCTAAGGCTACCTGGACTCCCAAAATACCATCACCTCCAACTAAACCACAGACTTGCTACATAAATTCTTTCAGAGACAGAGAGTATCCTGCTCTACCCACGCCAGGATACGGTGAGCTGCATCCTCAAATTCAGATTAAAACGTGGGTCAGCTAATGTTGTCATATCTGTGAGAGGGCATTTGCAAGGAGCTGGCCCCTCCCAAGGGCAACTGTGTGTCCCCCAGCCTTCCCTGTCCAGAGCTCTAGGGAAAAGAAATCAGAAAGGCAAGAGGCTGGCCCCTCATTTCAGTTGCTCCTGCTGTTCTCTCAACCCCCTCCCGGTGAGGGGCAAAGAAGGCCGGTGAGTTTCTACCACACTGCAGCCAGGCCCTCACCTGCTGCATTGCCCTGAGAAGCCAAAGCTGTGCTGGGTAAGATCTAGGTGGGGCTCAAGGCTATAGGATGGGGGGGGGAGGGGGTTGCAGAAGCAGGAGGTCAGGGGAGCCGCAGGGGGTGGGGGGGCTAGGGTCTGCAAATCCTGTCTGGCAGCATCTTAATAATAGAAACACATCTCCCGCTGGGCTGAATCCCACCTCAGGCCTGGGATAGTTAGTATTGATCGGTTCTTCTTGCCTACTTCATTATGTTGGCAAGAACCTCTCTAGAGCTCCTTAACTTCTGCACTCTCCACCTCTCCTGGCCCAGGCAGCACCTAGTTGAGCTCTGCACGGAGTTCTGGTAGGTAACCTACGTTCTGCCAAAGAATGGGGTGTTTTCTTTGTGATAGGGGTCGGGGACACGGGGGGGGGGGGGGGGGGATCTAACCCGATGGCCAGCTCGGTGGCGCCGGCGAGCGACACACCTCGCCGGCTCTGGCCCCCGTCGGTCCCTTTAATTCGAGTTCGCTGCGGGGCCAGGTGCGGCGCTGCGTGGCGCGGTGCGGCGCGGTGCGGCTGCGGGCGGCGGCCGGGCGCTCCGTACGCGCCGCCCGCGGGACTGCAGAGTCTGCTCCCGGCTGGCCGCCCGCACCCCGCCGCCACCACCGTCACCGCCCGCTGCTCGGATTCTGCCGGCACTGGCTGTCACCCAGGAACATGGAGGCTCAGATACCCATCTGCAAGGGTAAATCAGTGTCCGGCGTTCGGTTGCGCGTGCTGCCATCCTTGCCCGGCTGCAGCGCCCTAGAGGGGCTGCAGAGCACCCCGGTAGTCTGGGCGGGCGAGCTGGTGCTGACCCCTGCTGTCGACCTGGAGGGCTATGGACCCGCGCCGGTCACGGCGGGTGGGGAGGGGGGACTTTCTCCTTCTGAAGAGTGCATGGAATGGACTCGGGGACCCTGTGGTCTGTGCGTGACTTAGGGCGGAGGGCGCAGATTGGAGGTGGCTGGTGATGGGAAGTGCAGCTGACTGCATAGCCATGTCTGGTAAATAGTGGGTGGGTAGGATAGGACCCGAATCACTTGGGTCCTCCCGGTTGCATTTGCCTCTTGGCAACGGAGTAAAACAGGCTTCTCTGCAGTCGCTGTTTTTCCACTTGGCCGGGGTGGTGGGCTGCCGCGGAGTCCCCCTTGCCTGAGAGGAAGCTAGATCTGGGGCAGCTGCCTGGAGAAGCCTGCTCTGCACTGTCAGAGTTCAGGCTCCTGTGTATTTTGGGGTGGAGACGTGTCTCGGTGGTCCCTTAGTTAGACCTCGCAGGCACCAGCTAGGCTGTCCTCGGGCCCGCAGTGGGAGCCCACTGCACTGCGCAGGAAGGGGTTAAGGTGGCACGCTCAAGCCGGCCGACGGCTGCAGGCTCCGGTCAGCCGCGCGGATTCCGGCGGGAGCGCGCCCGGCGGAATCCCGGCCGGAGCCCTGGGCGATGGGAGAGGTCCCAGACCCCTCCCGGTACTGGGGCCAGCGGGATTGGGTCGGCGGGGGGCCAGCCCGGAAGCCAGCTTCCTCTAGGCTCCCCCTCTCCGAGAAGCCAATCCGCCTGGCAGCCTGGCAGTTTGAGCGTTTGTTCTGTGCTTCCCTGCCGAGATGTGAGGGATTTTCTCTTGGGAAGAAATCAGTGGTCGAGTGCCTGCCCAGCTCAAATGCCACCCAACCCAAAGCAAGGCCTGAGGCCTAGGGATCCCGGAGGGAGAGTAAGTTCAGCGACCCCGGCTATCCAGCATTCTAACAGAGGCTATCTGGCTGTGTGCGGGGGGGGGGGGGGGGGGGGGGGGGGGAGTCTATCTCAAGCTGGGAAGGAGTGTGTGCTGGGGGAGGAAAGATTGCTTCTTCACCAGGTCGGCGTAGCTAAGGTCAAAGAGGAAAACCCTTCTCCTGGGAGATAGGTGTTCTAACACCAGGATGGAGAAAGCTGTGTCGCTCCTGGTGGCAGCAGAGAACTAAGGGGAGAAAGTACTTCAAGCTGATGAGAAGAAAGGCTTACCCAGGAGAGGCTAGGAGGGTACAGGGTAGTTCTCTCGGTCTCTGGCACCATGGAAAGCAGGCATGGGGGTTTGCCACTCGCAGAGAGGGTATCTGCCAGAGTGCTTCTAAGTCTTGGTTTCAGGTGCCAGAAACCCCTGGTTTCCACCTTGCTGCTGTGTTTTCCAGGCAACATCACACCTCCTGAGGACAACCAGGAGAACTCTGGCTTTTGCTGAGCTGTGTGTCTTACCTCCTTCCTTCCAAAGGCTTCAGACCCAGGCTTTACTCTTCTCAAGTCCTGAATGCCCCTGGCCAGGCATCCATCTGTCCCTCCAGCCCTATCCAGCCCTAGAGCACATCTCCGGGACCTGGAACCTGCCCTCCTGCTCAGGGTGACTCACCATTATTCCCAGCTCAAGTGAGAAGATGTGACAGGGAGCTGAGCCGCCTATCTGTGTATCTAGGATTCCTGTAGCATCTGATCTGCCATTCAAGGAACAGCAGGCGCCTGCCTGGCCAGGTAAACCAATCCATTAATTACAGCTTATAGAGGTATTGGGGATGGTATCAGGGACGAAGACCCAGGCCCCAAACACCTTATCATGAGTACCTCCTGTGGTGCAGGTGTTGGCAAAACATTAGCATAGTGCCTGGCAGAAGGCTCCCTTCTCGCTATGGAGCTGTGTCCCAGGATGCTGTGTGGTACAAAGGAGCATGTCTCTGTCACCTGCCCCCAGTACATGCCATTCTATAATTGAAAGATTGTTCCCTGAACCCTACTGATCCCTAGGACAAGTTACATGGCGAAAGTAGTGTCAGTGGCGGGGCTGATGGTATGCTAGTGTTCCTGAACTCTTGGCCGAGAGATGGGGGCATCAAATGCAGCTCATGTCAGGTTGCCAATGACTGGCGGTCTCATGCCCTTACCTGCCTCTGTCTTTCAGCCAAGCGAGGCTGTGTCTCCAGCTCTCAGAGGGCTCTGGGGCTCTCCTGCAGGAGCACAGCCTGATGCTTCTGTGTTCCCTCGGGCCCAGTTACCAGCACCCTGAGCCCCCTGCTGCAAGCAGCCGGACAGACGGCATAGAGTAAAGCACTCTCCTCAGTCCCAACTATGACAGTGGCTACCGGAGACCCTGTGGATGAGGCTGCTGCCCTCCCTGGGCACCCGCAGGACACCTATGACCCAGAGGCAGATCACGAATGCTGTGAGAGGGTGGTGATCAACATCTCAGGCCTGAGGTTTGAGACTCAGCTAAAGACCTTAGCCCAGTTTCCAGAGACCCTCTTAGGGGACCCCAAGAAGCGGATGAGGTACTTCGACCCCCTCCGAAATGAGTACTTTTTTGATCGCAACCGCCCTAGCTTTGATGCCATCCTCTACTACTACCAGTCTGGGGGTAGGTTGAGGCGACCTGTGAATGTGCCCTTAGATATCTTCTCTGAAGAAATCCGGTTTTATGAGCTAGGAGAAGAAGCGATGGAGATGTTTCGGGAGGATGAAGGCTACATCAAGGAAGAAGAACGTCCTCTGCCTGAAAATGAGTTTCAGAGACAGGTGTGGCTTCTCTTTGAATATCCTGAGAGTTCGGGGCCTGCCAGGATTATAGCCATCGTATCTGTCATGGTCATTCTGATCTCCATCGTCAGCTTCTGTCTGGAAACCTTGCCCATCTTCCGGGATGAGAATGAGGACATGCATGGTGGTGGGGTGACCTTCCACAGCTACTCCAACAGCACCGTCGGGTACCAGCAGTCCACCTCCTTCACCGACCCTTTCTTCATCGTGGAGACCCTCTGCATCATCTGGTTCTCCTTTGAGTTTCTGGTGAGATTCTTTGCCTGCCCCAGCAAAGCTGGCTTCTTCACCAACATCATGAACATCATTGACATCGTGGCTATCATACCTTACTTTATCACCCTGGGGACGGAGTTAGCCGAGAAGCCAGAGGACGCCCAGCAAGGCCAACAGGCCATGTCACTGGCCATTCTCCGTGTCATCCGGTTGGTAAGAGTCTTTAGGATTTTCAAGCTGTCCAGACACTCCAAAGGTCTGCAGATTCTAGGTCAAACCCTCAAAGCCAGCATGAGGGAACTGGGCCTTCTGATATTCTTCCTCTTCATTGGGGTCATCCTCTTCTCTAGTGCTGTCTATTTTGCAGAAGCTGATGAGCGAGAGTCCCAATTTCCCAGCATCCCGGATGCTTTCTGGTGGGCAGTCGTCTCCATGACAACTGTAGGCTATGGAGACATGGTTCCAACTACCATTGGGGGAAAGATAGTGGGTTCCCTGTGTGCAATTGCAGGTGTGTTAACCATTGCCTTACCAGTCCCTGTCATAGTGTCTAACTTCAACTACTTCTACCACCGGGAGACAGAGGGAGAGGAGCAGGCCCAGTACTTGCAAGTGACAAGCTGTCCAAAGATCCCATCCTCCCCTGACCTAAAGAAAAGTAGAAGTGCCTCTACCATAAGTAAGTCAGATTACATGGAGATACAGGAGGGCGTGAACAACAGCAATGAGGACTTTAGAGAGGAGAACTTAAAAACAGCCAACTGCACATTGGCTAACACAAACTATGTGAATATTACCAAAATGTTAACTGATGTCTGATGAAGCCTATTATAATGTACTCACAGCTCCACAGGACTAATGCAGATGTTGCATAATAGCCTGCATTGTAGTCAGTGTCCTACAGTGTGCATCTGGTTCTGCATGGAAAGCAATAGTCGTGCAAGTGACTTTTGACCTTTTGATTTTTGATTTAGAACACAGAATATTTATCAATGGCTTTTATGAGATCTTCATCACTGACGTACAGGTTTCCAAAGATGGGAGTCACCTATGGAGCCAGCATCTCATGGGCACAGTGCCGCCACCTCATAGCCCACACACAGTCCATCAGATCAACGCCAATCCTAACACCCTAACTAAAGGCAAACACACCTGGCAGGTGCCTTCTCCCTGCCACACCCTACCACCCCACTTCAGCCCACCCACCCCTGCACAGAGGAGCGCTACCATGGCTTAGTTTGAAAGTTCTGCTGACTGCTCCAAAGGTCATTCCCATTTTTGCCTTGAAAAGAACACACAGTCCTGTGTGTTGGAATTTCTTTCTGTGTCACAGGCTGGGGTTTGTAGATTGCAGTTGCCAACTCGATGCTCCGGAGGCTTGTGTTTCGTAATGGAGATGCAGCATTCTGCTTTTTTCTCTGCAGTGTTGGCGTGGGGGAAGCCCAGGGGGTGGGGGAGGGACAGTTAATATGACCAAATATGAGTTGTCAAGTTTTACATTTGTTCCCTTAGGCCTATGGGGAGAAGCTACCAAATTCAGGGACTTCTCAGCTTCAGATACTGTTCTTGCAAGCTTCAGGGTCACAGAACATGTTCGATTTCTTCTCTTACTCTGCAGTTTGCAGGCATCTGCTTCCCCGATGGTGTGGCCCTGCTCCACTACAGTGCAGTGGAGTGTACCAGTCATGCAATAGAGCTGCATGGGTGTTCACTGCATGAATATCAATATTTAAAACACAGAAGATAATCTCTCTTCCTAGTAGCCTATACAGTATTCATACGTAGAGTATTAATAGCCTTGCGATGGTATTGAACTAGGCTTTTTTTTCCCCATCAGAAGGCAAAAGCCCTCCATCAGGGAAAAGCAAACAGACTACTTGGAATGGGGAACCAAAACTTCTGGCTGGCCCCCCCAGCCCACCCATCTCTGTTCTTTCAATGGGAGCAAAGACTCTGCCACACCAGGTGAATGAACAGAAAAGTCAGAGTCTAAACACTCACGTGACTGAACAGTAGGAATTAATCCAGTCATGGGTATGACTACAAAGCTTACCAGGACACTGATCCTGAGGACAGGCAGATCTGTGGGTTCAATGTACATAAATATATATCAGCTATCTATCTTTCTCTCTCATGTGTTCCTCTAGTAAGCTATAGAAAAATTGCATTTGAACATTGTATAAGCTTATGCAATATTTTGACACAGGGCAATTTATGCATGTGTTTGACTATGTGCACTAGAATATATATATATACATACACAAGTGTGTGTATATGTACATTATACACACACACATACACACATATATATATATTCATTCTCTGGAGTGCAGATTCAGGAGCAAATCCGTTGCTTGGTGGGTTGGTTGTATAAGAAGCCCAATGGGTACGTTAAAACCCACTGAACCTGGGTTTGCTGTCATTGCCTCAGACACACTCCAGTGTTCATGGATTCTTAGACATTAGAATTGTCTTTCTGCCCTCCATGTGCTGCAGCTTCAGTTTCCCATGGCTGAAGCTTGTCTTACTGAGTGCAGTGCACAAGGGTCCTATAGCCCTCACAGCTCCAGCTATCCTGGGTCAAGCCCACCCCAGGCCTCCTCTCTACAATTCATCCTATTAATCATTTCCATTATTATCCTCTCCCCCATTTAATGCTCTCTCATTTGCCTCTGCATCCATCACTTTCATGAACCTGTCCCTAGGATGGATCCTCTGCTTTGAAATCAAGGAGTAAAACTCCTTGGGACCAGATTCTGCTGAGCTAGACTTAAAGGAAGCCTCCTATTGGTGGAAATTTCCAAATTCTGGAACCAAGGAATGGATTCCCTGCACAGCCCAAAGCATCATTTTCATTACTAAACTCAAACTCCCTAGCACACTGGTAATAAGAGCTGCCCTTTAAAAAAATAAGAGTTGTCCCACCTCAAGGAGATGTGCTAGACTTTGTTGACTCCCTGTGGGAAGCCTTACCCTCTCTGAGGAATGGATGGGAGTGAAGGGGGAAGGTGAAGGGAGCAAGAGGAAGGGAGAAAGTAGGAGCTGAGATTGGTATGTGAAATTTCAATTAAATAATAATTATAAAGGAATTACCCCCACCCTAAGAACAGGTAAAGAATAAATGAACATGGTAGAGCCTCAATGTAGAGAATGTATTGGCCTTAGGAAGTGGAGGACAGCTTGTGCCTCTCCATGCTAGGTTTCTTTGCCTTTTGACACAGTGGCTTAAATTCCCCAAACACAGTGAATCACAATCAGACTGTTCAGTATCAATTCCAGCCCAGACACCACTGTTCGCTAGTTGGTACCTACAGTTGTCTTAGGGGAGGGGGGGCGCCAGCCCAGGGTGCTAGTCCAGGGTGCTCTTTAGTTCCTGGTCACCCACATCCCCAGAGTATCCCATGTCAGACACAAAGCCTCTGTGCTTCTCTTCTTCCCCTTAGTGGGAGGTGGTGCTGAACTTCATAACGTGGGGTGGGAGGGACATACTGGAGGATAGAAAGTTAAAGCAACCCATACAGAAGTCTAGGTAGGAGAAAGTTACCTATTCACAAAATCCTTGGCCTGGGAACCATAAAATGTGTACACACATGCATCATAAAATAAACGATACGTCATTGTCACACAAAAATATAAAATATGCAACATATACGCAAAATACCCATAGGCCAAAATAATATAAACAGTATACAAATAAGAGATATACAAAACAAACACATTGCCCAAACATAGAATGTGCATACCAACACAGAATATCTGCAAGAGATATATTTAGCCTGTGTGCAAACACACAGCATACAACTCATATGCAAAATATACAAATCCAACTGGGGGACAATGGATATACATCAAAATGCATAAATGATGCTTTATTATTGTTTCTGTATACGAGCTCAGCATGTATACACAGTGCACAGAGTTATATTTATACTAGATACACACAAAAAAAGCAGTCAACATGCCCAACAATACACATAAAATTTAGACATTGAATCACTAACCATGCATACACTTCCACATCTAAAATTTGATGGACAAAAGCAAGGGATCAGATTTAATTGCTTTTCCTTTCCTATATCAATAACCCTCAACATTCTCCAAGGAGCCTCTTCTTTGACATCCAGCCTCATACTTGAGACAGGACTCCTGAGGTTTCAAGCAGAAAGATGGGCCACTACATTAAGCACTGAAATCTCCTGGGTTTGCTACCATTCACCTTCTTTCAAACAGCACTCAGAGTGCAGGGTGTGTGAAATGACCTGCAAGAACTAGCAACCTAATATGGGCTTCCATGATGTACCTTTTCTTTCAGAGAAAATCCACACTGATGACTCAGTCTCCCCTCCAAGTAGTCACAATCTCCAGGTTTATCCCTATTCTCTTGAAGCAGTGATGGCTCAAGAAACTATAGGGTTCTGGACCCTAAGCCAGGTTGAAATACCCCAACATTCTTTGAGCCAAAAGATCTTATTGCCCAGCCTTCCAAAGTACCTCTTTGTCTGGAGCCACGTCAGAAACTTGATTCTCTATATGGACTTAGCTCCTAAAATGAGACACCTTTTCTTGCTCGTGGCATTTCACTCACCTTTGGGCACAAATCCAATAAGTCAACTCTTGATCACCATCTCTGAGTGTTCAGTCTAGGCATGCTTCCCCACCAGGGCTCCCAGGGAAGCCCATTCAATTGTGGCGCCTTGACAAAACTGCAGACCAGTTTAGTTGAAGTAAAATGTGACAAGGGACGCTAACCTATGGCTAAAAGAGCATTAGCAATCTTTAGAGGACCTGATTTTTATCCTCTATTCTAACACTAGATTTAAACACTAGATTTACCCACCATCATAGAGCCCCAGGGGCTGCTTCTTCCTGCTCGTAGGACCAGGTAGGGCCTGAGTGCCTTTTGGCAAAGGTTTTATGTAGCCTTGGATCAAGTTTCATGGCTCTACTTCTACAGTTCCAGGTTTCTGAGCACTCCCTTCAAGGTTCCAGAGAGGAGACAACAAGAGCCGAGAATGGTCATGTGATCCAAAACTTGTGCACTGGGACTTGTGTTTCCAAAGCGAGATACCAATTTCCACCCTAACTTTGTGAGATGCTCTGTGGCCTCGGACATTTTAAAAGTTGGGGTTTCTGGGAAGTTGGGAAGGAAGGAGTCGAGGAAAGGCAGAGAAATTGTCAGGAAAGAGAAAATAACTGAGCAGTTGACTTTTTAAGTAAGTTTATCAAGAACCAAGTTTTCATTGGTTAAATAAATTTAATTCAGGAACCCAACTTTAATTTAGCTCTGTGCCTTTCTGGAACTTCAGTGGGGTATGAATGTCAAGTCTTGATGAGAAAATCTGGCTCTTCTAAGGATCCTCTGCCTGGGAACTCAGTGCCAGTTACAGCCATGGAAAGGAGGTGGAAACTGATCTTCCCCAGAGAAAGCTAGAGGAAGTGCAAAGGGCATGTGAAGGTCATAAAGAGTGCACAGTGCTCTGACCTGCTAACCTAGGAAGGAGGAGGACCCCAGAGCTCTCCTGTGGACCCCTCTTCCCCTGCCGTAACAATCTGAGTGTGGCAGATGGGATGGCTACCTGACCTGAAAGGGGTCTGATGTCTAGGCTACTATTTCCGGTTACACAATCGAAGTCCCTTTTGCCTTGATAAAGTTTCCATTGTTCAGGTTCAAATTCATGACCTTAGTTCACCAACATCACTAGCCACTCGAGTCAACCAGCAGGAGATACGTGCTGGAAGCTGTCTTCATAGTTATTGTGACTGTCATCTGTACCCTCAGATTTGGTCCTTGTTTAGACCCCCCAACCTCCATGGAGCAGAAAGCAGGGAAGGACAGGAGGGGTAAGGAAATCCCTTACAAGCACCTCAACTAACCTAGTCCACTTTGCCTCTCTGTCCCCCTTTCCCCTGGAACTCAGCTCCATCCCTCATAGTTTGTGTCTAATGTTTTTAAAGAGGAAATGCGCAATAAAAGCAATAGTGACTGTTTTCTTTAGCAATAGCTCTTTCAAAATCTTGCTCTCAGGACTGAAAAGTGATAGATAGTATATAGACCACCAGGTAATGCCCTTGACCTCTGGACATTTGTTCCCAGTTTCTGTAGTTCTTCTTCCCACTTGATCCCATGATTGATTTCTGTTTGCTGAGGTCTGACCTCCTTCCGGAATGAACAAGTACACAGAGATGCAGTGTTCCCCCAAGGAAGACCCTTGACAAGGCCTTCTTTTGTAGTCTTTCGGGCTCTTTTTTGTGCACATCTCTCTCGGTATGTGTCTCTGTGCCCCTCTTCCACTGCATCTCCTTCCTACCTGTTCTTTCACAGCGCCCTAGAGACATCTAGGCACTGGCACCCTTGCATTTGAGTGACCTCATGCCAGCTCATCTTGTTGACTTTGTGTCCGTCTGTCAGGTATAATGGAAGCCTATAGGAGAACGCTTACTGATAGATGAGAATACAGCATCCTGAGCCATTATAGAAGATCCTTTCCATGCAGTAAAAGCCATTACTTGATTCTTTTGCAGCCCTCTCCAGGGAGATGAATATGAGGGAATGTAGCCCTGAGGTGTACGCCTGGGATCAGTTACTTGAGCAGATTTGGGGAGTGCCCTCTGACTCTCCTTCACAATAGACTGACTTGCTCAACCATATAGACTTTATCAGCACTTCAGAGCAAAGTAAGTCTTATTGCTTTGTAGAGAGGTGGACAGGCACAGAGGTGTGGGTGGTCAGGGAACAGCATTCGTGAAATAAACCCCACTTGCCGCTACAGGGTGCAACTGTACAAATATTCCACACATCACCCAGGGCTTTGAAAGGGATCCCTTTCTTGAGACATCTGTGAGGTGAGCTATTGCCATTCAGACTGGAATCAGGGAAGGCTGGCGACCCCGGGAGCCCATTCCATTCCTTCTTAGTTTACTTTGCTCCGCACATCCTTGTATAGCCTGACCTTGGGAAATCTCAGGGAGGAGAGTGTCCTGAATGCTTTGCAATCTGGTTATTGGAGGGGAGATGGGAAAATGTGTGGTTCAGCTTTTGTGATTGGAAAGTAGTATTTCCGAAATAGGTTAGGATAAACTCTTGCCTTAGTTAAGTAGAGCGTTTTGAGAAGACAGAAGACCTTGCATGGCTCAGCGTCAACCTTCTAAACCTCAGCGCTTGGTGTATGGAAACGGAGGTGAAGCAGACCAAAGAGACAGGCTAAATAATGCTGGCTGCAAAATAGATGTGGGCACATCATAGCTTATCAGATGATGCTCTGTTTGCCTCTTCCTACTCAAAGTATAGAAAGACAACATAATTCCTGTCAATAAGGATTTTAGTTAATTGGTCCTGAGTTATTCGAGGTTTCCCATATATACATATACCTGTGTGTATATATGTATAGTGTATGTATATATGTATGCCATTATTTCAGAAAATCACACAAATAGAGGTAGACCAATCTCAGTTACACTAGTGTGGAATAAATTTGGCATTCTTAGGAATAAGCTGCGTTTACTTGAATTTCAACGTGACCTTTTTCGCATTCTTTCCACCTCTCCAGCTCTGTGCTTTTTCTGCTTAAGAAACTATCTAGAAGGCATTTCTTCAAACAAAAGGACAGGCTCAGGGTTGCCTCTTTCCCTTCCCTGCCAGGTGGCTGCCTGACTCAAGGATCAAAGGGAAGTGTGATCCCCGGACCAGGTGCTTTCTTTTCCTTTATTCTGCCTGCCTTGTTTGGCTGTAACTTCATCCCTCAAGACCAGAAAAGTTATGCCCAACTTTGTAGCTCTAGGGGAGTGGAATATTCTGAGACTTGGCACAGGGCTGGTCTCTAGTTTTTTCTTCATCGGTGTTAGAGTCCTAGGCTTGAATGTCTTGAGTTCTGACACAACCTCAGTGAAGAATGAAAAATGTGGGCATTGTGGTCATTGGTGAAATGAACCCAGTAGGCAGTTGAGTCCGCTTAGTGTAAACAGAGGGCCAGGCCTAGAGCAATTAAGACCCACTTGTCTTCTTGGGGGATGAGTTGTATACACCATTCAAGAAACTTCTGGGTAGAAGCCTAAACATGCCCTCCTTGCTATCCTGTCTGGCAATGTTAAAACTCCCAGGGAAACACTTTTCTCAGCCTCATCTCTGCATTAAACTGTGTGCACTCTACTTGGAAGTTGGTGGGAGGGATTCCTCGCTAGTATCTGAAGGTGATACAGGGGTGGCTGTCATCTGCCCGCCTTCCCAGAAGCTCGGCAATCTGGTCAAGTGAGCCACCATCCAGGAGTGGAAGCCTTTAGCCTCGACTTAGCATGACCAGCTGGTGAGTGCCGCCGTTGGCCTATCTAAATGGTCCCCTCTCATCCGGCGTGAGCCTCGGCATGGAAACTCATCTACACTCCTAAAATAGTCGGACATGCTCCACATGAGTGTGCAGCTGAGAAGTCCTTGCATCATTCGACTGACGGATGCATAGTGCAGGTGTGATTACATAATACTGTGAACAGCTGCTGCAGTAGCTCCGTAATGAAGGGGAGTAGAGAAACGGCTGGGTGATGGGACCTTAGGTAGCTACCCAGAGGACTCCACGCTGTGTCTCTGGGTCCTTGTGAGAGGCCTCTAAGCCCTGCTTCTCCTTGAAAACGGCTCCCTAGACACTGCTGCCGTGTTTGTCTGACTGCGTAAACACTCGGAACTGCAGAGAAAGCAAAGGAGGAGCTTAGGGAAGAGCCTGTTCAGGAGCATGCTTTGCTGGCAGACAGTTTCCATATTTGCTGCTAGCGTGACTGGCTTCTGAACTTACGAAGCCAAGGGCAGACTCTTTGGCCTGCCAGGCGAGGCTAGAAGGGAGCACACGAGTTCACAGCTATTCGCTGGAACAAAGAAACGAGAAGCGAGGCCCGGGTGGCTTTGGCAAGGGTGAGTCTCAGCTCCTGAGAGTTTGAACATGCTCCGTGCCTGCCCCAGTTCTGCCTTCACGTGGGAGCCAGCGACCCAGTTTCTTTTTGTTGTCGTGCTTGGATGGTTCCTTCATTTGAAGGGCTCCAGGAAGCTGGAAAGTCCCAGGATTGAGCTCCAGCCCTGCGGAGCAAACAATGCCCCAGCCAAATTGGCCTCTTCCTGGGTTTCTGCGTCCACGAACCCCTCTCTCCCACTGAGGGTGATCTTGGAACAGCCAGGGTTAATGGTGCCAGCAAGCAAGGAGGATTCTCTTGTTTCCATTACAGACAGAGCTGTAAAGCTCTTAAGTGGGGGGTTGTTGCGTGCTTATGGGCTTACTATATAGGCTGCCTCTGGAGACCATATCTATATATAATATATTATATATATATATTATATACGTGTGTGTATAAATATCTGTGTGTATATTTATACACACAGTGTGGAAATAGGCTCATGCAGCACAGACTAGTTAGGGTGTCCACTGGCTTCTTTGCTGCTCATGCATGACTCTGCAGCTGCCCTCCCATGTCCTGTCTCTTAAAAAAAAAATTACCGAAAACTCAAAGAGGAGAGGAAGATAAATAAGCCTCTCTGAGATCAATAGGAAAAGGAACTCCAAGGCCGATGGCAAAGCTTCCTAAGGATGATGCTGAAAGGGAACTTGGGTCTCCATGGTGATAAGAGACCGAGAACCAATGAGAGCTGAAGGCGGAGCAGGACTTGTGAGGAGGACTCATGGGAGTTGGAAGTCATTTAACTATTTGTTTGCTTCATGAAAATTTAGACACCAGCTGTAACTGCATTGCACAGGATGTATAGATGTTAGCTGTCTTGCTGACATGGTCTGGAAGCTTTCAGCCCCACCAACACTGCCCCCACCCAGGACTTGTGCAGCTGAGAGTTCCTGTGTCAGTAGGGTCTGATGTGTGTACATAGATTATACATATACGTGTACATATGTGCCTCAATGAACATTGCCTGTTCACCTTATCGTGGGTGTACATAGACTTCATAGAGCTCCACAGTCTTTTGTAAATATTGACACAAGTAAATAAGTATATAAATATATATTACTGAGGATTTATTTTAACATCATTCTGTGTGAAATGACAAAAATAAAATTTTTGACAGACACCAATGCTTTCTGCCTTCGTTCCTGTTTGGATTGTTGTCTTTACAAGATAAAGATGTGCCTGCTTTACTCTCCCTTGTCTGAAGCTGTGAAGGCTCATCAGCCCAGGACTGCCCATCAGTCCTGGTGATGCATCAGGGACCACCTTGGCTATATACCCATTTGCTGTTGCCTGCAAGTCCCATGCAGACACTGTGGGACATGGGGAAAGCAGAAATGGGTTTGGGATCTCTGCCATTACATCTGCATCTTCTACATAACTGGAGAATGTTCGGAAAAGGGGGGACTCGAGTACAGAGTCCCAGTGCAGCCTAGGTTCATTTAACTCCTTCGTTCACCTTTGTCTTCAGACCCAAACTCGCTTCTCATTACTGCAGGTGCCATGCAGCTGGACCAACTAGATTCTCAGCTCTCAAATGGTACTGCCTCCTTGGCTTCTCAACAAATATCTATGGCAATGTAGCTCAGGTGATAGAGCGCTTGCCTACCGCTTACACAACCCCCGCGTTCAATTCTCAGCACTGCGTAAACCGAGCATGGAGGTCCATGCCTGTAATCTCATCTCAGCAGTCTGAAGGCGGAGGCAGGAGGATCAGAAACCCAAGTCCATCTTTAGGTACATACTGAGTCTGAGGATAGCCTAGAGCACATAGCACCCTGTCCCAAAAACAAAATTTAAAAGGACAGAGGCAACTTGATTCTCTAGCTCTACGAGGTATCTCTTGGAGAAAATTCTGGCACATATTGCTGAGACACATGTGTCTTCTTGCCTTTCGGGGCTAAGTGCATCCAGAACTGGACTTCCCAGCTTTCCAGTGGCTCAGAAGCTGCCATAGTATAGAGTATGACCACAGCAAGGCCCTTGTCCTTGTCCTGCAACCTATTTCACCCGGCACCCATCCTTCATCCTGCCCAGGTATCCCATTCCAGACCTCAGTTTCTCCTCCCGACAGCCTGCCATGCTCTGTCGCCAGGAAACAGGCCAAGCACCTGGTACATCATAAAATGTCAATTAAAAATATATGAATATATCTTCTCCCGAAATTCCAAGCTGAAAAGACCCACACAGGGCAGGATACTGAGCACTATTGGATGTAAATTGAAGGATTTGGAGCTGGGGAGATGCTTCAGTGGGTAAAGTGCCTGCTGCAGACTTGAATACCCGGCACACATGTAAAAGCTGGACAATGAGGCGTGCACAAATGTAATCCCAGGGGTGGGGAGACAGGGGCTGGTGGATGCCTAGAGCTCATTGGCTAGATAGTCTAGCCAAATGGATGAGCTCCAGGTTCAGAGAAAGACCTTGATCAAAAAATAAAATGGGGAGTGATGAAGGAAGACACTTAGATCAACCTGTGCCCTACACACGTGCCGTGTATGTGCATGTGTGTGCACACGCATGCACGCACATGTCACCTTCTTTCACTCTAAGGATTCCTAATCTAACCCAAGATTAACCCCGGAAGACTTGAAACCTCTAAAAAAAAACACATATGGCGTGCCATATTACAGCCATTTTTCTGTAGAAAGTGTCCATAGTTATCCACAAGACCCCAGAATTAAAACTACCGCCCTGTCCTAGCCTGAGATGGCTTCATCTTGTCTACAATGTCCAGGATGGAAAAAGATACTTTCCCAGAATTATTTCTTTTTTTTAATATTTATTTATTTATTCATTTATTATGTATACAGCAGACTTCATTACAGATGGTTGTGAGCCACCATGTGGTTGCTGGGAATTGAACTCAGGACCTTTGGAAGAGCAGGCAATGTTCTTAACCACTGAACCATCCCTCCAGCCCCAGAATTATTTCTTTTATTTAAAAAAAGTAAAAGCACCTAGAGCTTAGGATACTCTTGTCTTGTGTATCCTCCTGCCACAAGAAGAGAGGAACTCACCCAACAGTGTATTAGTGACGGCCACAGAGCCAGGCCAGACTTTGCCCATCATGGCCTACCCTACCCCACCAGATGTCTCTTTCTACGAATCTGTCCTTCTGCAATAGCTGTGCCAGGGCCTGAGCTCCAGAATTCGGACCTGAAGTGTCCCCAGGCTGGTTTAGCATAGCTGTCGGGAGGAGCACATATGTTCTGATGTGAAATTCATGCTATTTAAATGATATGTAAATGCCAAGTCTGCATCTCTTTGATCCCCTCTCAACCCGACTTTCTCACCAGGGCTATTACTCCCTTTTGTTCCCTCGGGCTACCTCCTCCTCCCTCCACTCCTCTTTAGGTCAGTAACCAGCTGCTTCCACAAATCACTGCCTTATCAGGAAAAGATCAAGGCTCCTTGGCCAAGTACCTGTTCCATCCTGAACACTAGCCAGAGCTCTGAATGCTTAATGGTTTGTAGTGGAGTTAGGAAGAAGATCTTCCATCTGCACGGCTGCCAGCACTAAAGGAAAAGCTGCCTCTCTCCAGGTCTGCTGCGATGGAAGATTTACACTCTCTTTTGCTGATCATTTGGGGAGCCAACAGTCGTGTGAGAAGGAAAACTGCTGTGAGTTAGGGTGCCTTCTCTCCTCTCCTAACCTCAGCATCTTACATACCATATCTACCTCATTAGCCCCTCGATACCTCGTATCTGACCCTGGTCCAGACACTGAAGATCCACTGAATGAATGAATAAATACACCTCTCAGTCACCATGGCAATCAAGCTATCCATGTCTCTGGTCCCGCAGAGACAGGGTGATAATCTAGGGCTCCTTTACCTCTATGAGCTGCTCTGAGTCCCCTTGATTTAAATGGCCCTTGATCAAAATGCCCCCTATTTCCTACTGCTCTGCCCCACATGTCCCAGAGCATCTAAGGTCTAGAGCTAAATCCCACAGAAGCCCCATGGCCAAGTCTGACTCAAGGAACTAGAGCTCAGAAAGACTCCCATAGGACTTTCAGATTCTAAGCCTGAGAAAATCTTGTGGCTTGGGAGTTAGCATTGGGTTCCATTCTCTGTTCTACTGCACAGTACATAAAGGTTACAAAAACAAGACATATGGAGGTATTGGAGGGCAGCACAGTGGTCATAGGGGGTATGTGGTGCCTTGCATGTGCCAAGGACTTACTGTGTAAGTACACTGTGTACTCCAAAATGTGCTTCCCAAGAGGTATGTCATTAATTTACCTGCAAGTTCTGTAAGAAGGGTATAAGTTACTGTTTACATTTTACATGTGGAAACTGTAACCAGGGTTGTATTTGTAAGTCAAGGTCACACTGTCAAAGAGCTGGCAGAGCCGCTGTGCCACTGAAGCCCTTTCTTAATGAGCCTTGTAATCAATAGAATCCTCCTGTTACCACTGTCTCCTTGCCCACGTCACTGAGGGCTTCAAAGTCTTAGAGGAAGACAAATAAGAAAACCTCATCTGCATTAAGCAACCTTGATAACAGTCAAACTATCCCACGTAGCCTGGCAGAGCCAGGTTGGAAAAGACCTTGACTTTGACTCTAAGTCCATTTGTGCAGATACCTGGAAAGTGACAGCAAAGATCTGTGGGGCAGGGAAAGGCTCCAGCCTAAAGAAGCAGTTCCTCCCCCTGCAGAGCAGGAAGACAGACCAGGTAGGAACTGAGCTAGAGCATCACGGTCCAAGGGTGTTAGATGAATGATCTCCTGCCAGGCACAGTTCACAAAAGCAAGGCTAGGACCCCAGCTAAGTGCTTCCCTGTTTTAGGGGGCAAAGCCCCATTCAGATCCTGGTCAACTAGGAGTCCAAGGCAGCAGGTGGCAGGCACCTCACCTACACAGTCCACAACCCAACCACCCAGGCTTGTCATGCTTAGATTGCTGCACCAGTAGGAACAGAAATCTGTGAGAGACTGGGAGGTAGGCAGACAGACAGGGAGAGGGGCATAGTTAGCTAATAAAGGTAATGAATTCCAAATATGGCCAACTTCTTCCTCACCCTCCTGCCCTGAGACAAAAGCCTAGTAGTTTAAAACAAAGGCCTTGTTGGCTTTTATCATGGACTGGCAGGCCCCCTGCTGACGGACTAGCTCATGGAGTTACAGGCCAGATCAGGACCTGTCACACAACAGTTCTGAGCCAATTAACTGCCCTAAATTTCTTCAACTTGACAAACCCTAAATTAGGGGAGAAAAACACGTCAGAGACTTTTAAAACCCAGCCCTCAAGAAGAGAGTGGATTTTTCAGCCTTAGGAGTCCTTTGTCCCTCTGTCGCCCCCCACCTCTCCCCGTGTATCTGTTGTGTGCATGTGTTTCCTCATCCCCAATAAACTCTTCTTCAACTGCTGATTCTGTCTGGTGCTGTCTGCGGTGGCTGAGACTTCTCCGCGGCCACCTGTGGCACTCGAGAATTTTCCTGCCTTTTAATTCTTTAACTAGCAGAGCAAATGAAATCAAGACCCCCAAGACTATGTCATTAGCCACACAGTCCCTCATCCACAGCTGTCCTCCCTGTTCCTAACACTCCTTCCTCTCCAAGATGCTTCAGACAGTAGCTGTGGATCACTTTTCTGCCTCTCTCAAGGGTAAAGAAGGAACAGAACCACTGTGAGACATACATATGTTAATGCATACATGCACACACGTGCATGTGCACACACTCGTGGGCCCCCCCACACACACACACGGTAGATAAATACAAAGTCCTAGATGACTCTGAAAGATGACAAGAATAAAAGGGGCATTGTGTGTACAGTAGATTCACTGACTAAATACATGACTTAAATCTGCTCATGAACACCAACCACATGCAGGCACTGTGCCCTGCGCTTTGCCTGTGTAATCTCATTTAAGTCTATGAGGTCACCGTCATTATGCGAATTTTTAGATGAGGAATTAAAAATGCAGGGAGCCAAATTAATACCCACTCATTCACAGCTAATGAGGAACACGTTTCGTAGTCAAATACAAGACATCTGGGGAGCACTGAAACCCAGAACAGGAAACCACGGCCACCTTGGTGGGGCCAGCCCCCAGGTGGGAGTGTTACTGCCACCACATCTGCCAAGGACACTGACTCTGTTCCCCTGAGCCCTCTGAT